ATTTCGCCAGCCTCCTTCCACAACCGATGCAACTCAAACAGCCTCAACAACAACCACCACAAGCACAATCACAAGCACAATCACAAGCACCAGCACAAGCACCAGCACAGCAACACGGCCTCGAGGCGGCCGGCAACCGGAGCACCGAAGTCTCGCCCGTCCTCACAACACTGGGCATCTTCTGACCTCCATCTCGTCGCCTGATTGGCCCAACTTGTCACTGCACAATGAGCTTTCACACTACACCTCGGTAACCATGCCGACGCCAACCGCGATTCCTCACAGACCTCTGCTGTACATACAACCCAATCTGACCACGAAGCGCAAACACGCCCATCTCCGAAGTAGTTGGGATCAGACTTTCCCCCCCTCCACACACACACACACACACACACTAACACATACACATCCATTGTGTATGTGTATGATCAGTCCACCCCACCTGTCCAAGACTGCGAACTGCAAATCTGTACATAAACGTGACGCCAGGCCAACGGGGCATGTGAAATGCGCCAGCTAGCCCTTTTCTCACTTACTCCGCTCCGATACGATCCGATCCGATCCGATCCGATCAGATCCGATCCGCTCCCCACCTCCAACCTCGGCCCCGGGTCTTCTCTGATGGCAGAAGCTGGCCACAGACAATCCTCGTGCCTGCATCCCCCCCCCCATTCAGCGTCTGACTGGCGCTCAGGTCAACCCTGCGATTTGCGCCACAATTGGCCGATTAAAGTCGAGTTTGTCTTTCATTCACATCTTTTTTTTCCCCATTTAAGTAGGCTTCAAGTAGTCAGCTTCGTCGCGATGCCCGTCAGCCGGGCTCGATTGGCGTCGGGGAGGCTGACGAGTGGAGTGGGAATGGTCATCTGGTTTTGTGGGCAAATAGGTCGTGGAATGAGCAGATGCTGGCCGAAATAGAATCTGGTCAGCGAAGCGATTGGCTGTTGTATCCTTCCCCATTCCCGTTTCGTCGTCCGATGCTGGGGTTTGGTGATTCTGACTGTCTCCACCACCGGCACACACTTTTAGGTGTGACGCCAGAAGCATCCGGTTGCCAGGTTGAAACACACTGACACACTAACACACCAGCAGACGAGCAGACCAGCAACCGAAACTAGTCGACAGCCAATAAATGTGGATATATCCGCAAGAGATCACACATTTATGGGTCAATTGCAGCAAAAGACAACCGATTTCCGATCGGTCCAGTCCACGAGGCATCCACCAGCAAGAATGGATTTTGGTGAGAATGAAGTGGATTTCGTAAAAAAAAACAACCCACACACGTTGTGGTTCAACAGTGAACCTAACCCAAGCAAGCAGTACCACAACATTTGTGGGTTGGCACACAAGCGACTAGAGCATGGCATAGAGTGGCACAGCTGGGGTGGCAGGGGTCGAATGAAATATATGAATCAGAGAGAGAGAGAGAGTAGACGGATCTTACAGGGCAAGAGAGAGCCTGTGATAAGACCTAGGGAAGAAAG